TCTTCTTAACTGAGAGTAAGTTCGAAGTAAACTTAGGCATATAGAAAGCACTAGAACGTTTACTAAATAGGTTTATACTACCTATTCCTTCAATCGGCACATTCTGTCCATTCGCAACTTTAACACTTCCTAAAGCCGGTTTAATGTTCTCTAACAACTTAGGATTACTTATCATATGGTGAGAAGCTCCTGAGTCTAATACTAATGACTTTGGATCATGAGAATTAGAAGTAAAGAGAGAAATACCGCCGGTAATGAATTTTGATGCGATTGATTGAATGAGAGATTCGAGGTCCGCCTTGTTCATCACAATGGTTTCTTGAGTTTGAGACGATGATCCACAGCCCTTATCTTGAATCGTGGCTTGCAACGCCTTCTCTTGTTGACCATACTGAACAATAGCCCTCTCTTCATTCTCTTGTCCACCGTCACTCACATTGGCCACATTCGCCTTCGACTTAAGATTCTTGAACTTCTCCGGCTTCAAATGGGGGTGTAGAATCCAGCAATCTTCTTTGGTATGACCCTTCTTGTTACAATGGTCACAAACCGACGCCTTCTTGTCCTTATGTTTCACGAACCCCGCCTTGTTTGCCGTAGGCAGATTTTCACCTTTAGTGCCGAATAGCCCTTGTGATCCAAACTCCTTTTGTATCTTTGCACACACTTGCTCCAAGGTAGGAATCTTGTCATCCCTTAGAATGTGTTGAATCACATCTGTCTAAGTAGGATTAAGCGTCATCAACAACCCGAAGACACGATCTTGCTCTCGGCGATCTTTAAGTGTTGTGGCTTCGGTGGTGAATGGCCTTAGCATCTCTAGTTCAGCAACTAGAGACCTATACTTCCCAAAATGAGTATTAAAATCATTGTCTTCTTGACTTAGGCTTCCGAGAGTCTTCTTGAGCTCATATACCCTTGTCAAGTTTGACTCGTTACCGAAAACATTGGCAAGTGTATCCCATAGCTCTTTAGATGTCTCGCAATACGAATACCCTTCCAAGAGTGAAGCCTCAAGAGAGCAATGGAGAGCACTCAGAACCGTCAAGTCTTCTTGCGTCCAAGTCTCTTTGACCAAGCTTTCTTCCAAAGCTTTCGCTTCTTCATAGGTAGACTCAATGTATCTTGTGAGTCTTCTCCCACCCAATACATTCGTCGTTGTTCTCTTCCATAAGAGATAGTTGTTTCCATTCAAAGCAACCGGAAATTTCAGATCTTTGTAAGCCTTGTTTACTTCTTGAACCACAAGCGCCATCTTACAAGAGTAAAGACTCGATTTTGAACCGTTCAAAACTCAAACCCGAGATAAAGCTTCAACCTTTAGTGATAAAGCTTCAACCTTTAGTTATGAACCCAACCTAAACTCCTTAGAAAACCTTTAAATCGCTTCAAAGATATCCTAACTCTTGTGAATGGAATCCTCACCAAAGACTTTAAGAAACTCTACCCCAAGAACAGCAAAACCCGGAAATAAGATGAAACCCAATCTCGCAAACCAAGGAACAGAACTCAAAGAAGAGAAATCGAAAAGCTAAGATTAAGAGGGAAAAGATTCAAGAACCGAACGTTCTGATACCATGAAAAGATTTAGAATCAAGTAGGAAGGATAGAGATGAACATGGTGAATAATAGAGAGAAAGATGATTGATTGTAATGTGATAAAAGTTACAAATGGTTTGGGGCTGCACACGATTTATATAGGGAGCTCACTAGGTCAAGATGGGTATGCACATAACCTTAAAAGCATCCTCATTCAGCCTAGTGAGTCACCGTGTACTTTAGCCACTTTCCAGCTCATGACAACGGTCATACACTACACGACACGGCCGTACACGCGCTTAGCACCATCCGGATAAGGATGGTCTCCTTCCCGCGTCCGTACGGTCCAAGATGACCGTTACCTCTCTTCCTCTTATTCAAACCAGTTACTTGCATAACAAGAAACACATTTCATTCATAACTATTACTTAGTTAGAATAAAATGTCTTCTTGATTAATATTAATGCCCAAAAAGTTTAGACATGACTCATGTCACAATTAATGCAAAAGTCATCATTACTTTTTCTAATATTAGTTTATATGTGTGAATAGTTGTAAGAGACAAACCTGATCCATCAAACAAACAAATTATTCTGAACGAATGTGATGCTGGAGACGTTTTGATCTTTTGATTTACAAAGTTTGGAGCCAAGACAAGCATTGATCGTGTAAGTAATGAAATTGGTTAAGAAGTTTTTTGTTTTAACACACTAGGGTCTTGATTGTGTTCGAAATCAACATTGTTTTTGTATAAAAACCCAGAATATTTTTATCTCCAATTTTTTTTAGTTGAAAATGCTAAATGAGGATAGATTTATGTTTATAAGTGTGTAGTTGGGATTTCTTTTTGTTTTTGTAGATATAGTCATGCTTTCATTTGCATTTAATGGGGTTCTGCTGAATTTATGATGCAGGTGGGTAATGGATATTCCCGTATTTACTATGGTGGGTGCGTGGAGATGCAAAGAAGAAGAATGGAAATTTGAACCATGGGAAGGCTGGTTTGGTCGTTGTGTACGTGTTAGGGAAAACATGACGTACACGGAATTTGTACGTACATTATGCGAGGTTTTCAGTTTGAAGTCCACCGAATGCAATCCAATAATTAGTTACTGGATGCCGGGAAAGATGTCAGTGATGATAGAAAGTAAACGCCCTCCTGTCTACATTGACAATCAAATGAGCCTGGATACCTTCTTTTTGATTCGTGGTGGGGATCCTAGTGTCACCTTGTTTGTCTCTTTCATTACAACCGTCAATGCACTCGGGAATACTGTCCGTATGACCGATGGTGGCGATGGTGAGAGTTACCGTGTGTGTGGGAGTGCAACGACACCAAATCCCATCGTAGCGGCTTCAAATGTAGATGGAAATAATGAGGCCGTAGATGAGCAAGACGACGTTGAAGACGATAAAACAGATGAGGATGAAGAAGAGGAGGAGGACAACGAAGATGGTGCTGGGTATGATGATTATCAGGGTGATGATGGATCTATGGGGGGGAAGTACCCTCGATCATACTATAGACGGTAGTGAAGGCAGTGGCGAAGATTACGATTACAACAAGTGGAACGATGTAATTATTGAAGAATATGGAATAGGGAATGTTGAGGAGGACGTCATTCTCACTCAACAAACGGTTCAACATCCAGGGGAATTCAGTCGTCTATTGGCAGAGTGTACGTACACAAGTCATCGTGTACTTGGGGGAGATAACTCGGTTGACCGTACACCAACGGTGACTCCAAGATGTACGTGTCAACATGGTTTGTACCAATGTACGTACACAACAGAATGTGTACAAGATACAGGCTGCGAAGGTAACACCGATACCAATATTAATGGTATAGACGAAGTCTGTGGGGATGATGTTATCGACCGTGGTATTGGAGCTTCCCCAAGTGGGACACTGAATGATAATCGGCTAGTTACTGCACCTGGCGGAGATAACATTTCTCATTCGGGTGACCGTACACCAACCGTGACTCCAAGACGTACGTGTCAACATAGTTTGTACCAATGTACGTACACTACAGAGTGTGTACAAGATACAGGCTGCGAAGGTAACACGGATACTAATATTAATGGTATATACGAAGTCACTAGGGATGACTTCATCGACCGTGGTATTAGAGCTTCCGCAAGTGGGACACTGAATGATAATCGGTTAGTTACCGCAGCTGAGGCTTACGAAGTGTATAATGACTTTTCTTCATTACATGGTGGCGAGTTGGAGATTCTCGATAATGATGCTGCACCGGTATTCGATGATTTAGCCAATTTACGAGATGATGAGACACAAGTTGAACTGAGTACAACAGGTGAGACTTTGTATGTCGGGAGTGTTTTTAAGAACAGAAAAGTCATACAACAAACAATGTCTTATCTCGTAATCAAACAATGCTTTTGCTACAAGCAACGTAGGTCATGTCCTACAAGATTGGAGATGGTCTGCGTTGATGATACTTGTCCATGGCATTTGACAGCTCAAGTTGTCAAGAATTCAGAATGTTTCAAAATCACATCGTATGATACCACCCATACGTGTGACATCGACACTCGTAAGAATTATAATAAACATGCTAGTTATAAGCTTCTCGGAGAGGTAGTGAAGAGCAGATACAGTTCTACGCAAGGGGGTCCGAGAGCTGTCGATTTACCACAGTTGCTCCTAAATGATCTCAATGTTCGGATTTCTTATTCTACCGCTTGGAGAGCTAAAGTGGTTGCAGTGGAAAATGTAAGGGGGGATGATATAAAAAGTTACAGGTTTTTGCCTACCTATTTGTATCTTCTTAAATTAGCTAATCCGGGTACGATAACTCACCTACACTCTACACCTGAAGCTGCTGGTACGCAGCGCTTTAAGTATGCTTTTGTATCTCTCGGGGCTTCTATAAAAGGTCTGAAGTATATGAGGAAGGTAATTGTCGTAGATGGAACGCAGCCAGTAGGACGTTACAAGGGATGTCTCCTCATTGCATGTGCCCAAGACGGGAACTTCCAAATATTTCCAATAGCGTTTGGTGTTGTGGATGGTGAGACTGATGCTTCATGGGTGTGGTTCTTTGATAAATTAGCTGACATTGTTCCAGACAGTGAAGATTTAATGATTGTATCGGACAAACATTCTTCAATATATAAAGGCCTCAGTGTGGCTTATCCGAAAGCTCATCATGGAGCATGTGCAGTACACCTTGAGCGAAATATCTCCACCTATTATGGTAAGTATGGTGTATATGGATTATTTTTCAGCGCTGCTAAAGCTTACAGAGTGAGGGATTTTGAAAAATACTTCGAACAGTTAAGGGCTAAGAGTGCTGCATGCGCAAATTACTTAGAGAAAATTGGATTTGAGCATTGGACAAGAGCTCACTGTAAAAGGGGAACGCTACAATATCATGTCTAGCAACAATGTCTTAACAAAAGCCAAATCATATACGATTGTGTACATGATAGAGTTCATTCGAGAGGTCCTAATGCGATGGTATCATATACGATTGTGTACATGATAGAGTTCATTCGAGAGGTCCTAATGCGATGGTTCGCAGCGAGGAGGCAAAAAGTGGCTAGGTGTAAGTCTTTAGTGACGCTTGAGGTTGATGAGCGTTTTCTCCAAGATTTGCCTGCGTCAGGGAAATTCGCGGTTAAGATGTCTGGACCGTGGAGTTATCAAGTTACAAGCAAGTCAGGTGAGCATTTTCATGACTTGTACGTGTACGTGTCTTAGGTACACAAAGTTGAGAATCCCATGTGAACACGGTCTAGCAGCTGCAATCGAGTTTGGAATAGATCCGAAGGTTGTTGTCGGATGGTGGTATGGCCTTCAAACGTTTTCTGATTCTTTTCAAGAACCGATTCTACCTATCGCGGATCCGAAGGATGTTGTCATCCCACAACATATATCGGATTTGATACTAATTCCTCCAAACAGTAGACGACCACCAGGAAGACCAACAACCAAAAGGATTCCATCTAGAGGTGAAAACCGGGTAAGTGCTATCATTCAAACATGTACACATTTTTCAAATATCCCACAACATTATGTTTTGAGTATAAGATGTGTTGATTATTAACTTATTGTTGTTGTCACTTCAGAAAAAGAGACAGAAAAGACTTATTCCGAATCAGTGCACACGATGTAGACAAGCAGGTCATAACAAGAAGACTTGCAAAAATCCTATTTAGATCTCCTCATAAGCTTTATGTCGCCGCGAAGACAGTGTACGTTTATGTGTGGACCGTGTGTACCAAAGTGTTGTGACGGTGTACGTACATTTAATGTTTGCCATCGTATAACTATGTACATTTTTGTTAGTGTACGTTTTTGTTAGTGTACGTTTTTGTTATGTCTGTGTACGTATAATCTTCATGAAAAAAACGGTACAAACGGTTACACACATTTGTATCTCAACCGTTGGAACACTTTCGCACTACCCACTGCGTCCATTATGGAATTTCCTTATTTAAGCCACATCTCCTCCTCAATTTTATCCACGTTCCTTCAAACGAAAACCCTTTCATATTCGGCAGTTACATCAATCAAACACAAAGTCTTTCGATTGTTCTTGCTAACCGTGTGATGGACGGGTATCACACCATCTCCGAATTGTGTCCTCATATCACTGGGTGGACAATTTGTGTATTTGTCGTGAGAGTGTTTAAGAAGTTTGTTGCGCCCAACGTCTTCGAACTCGGCCTTATCTTGGCAGATAATTCGGTAGTTTCCCTATGCCGTGTTTGTGTTTTTTTTTATCATACGTCAGGTTCAATTGTATATAAATCTGTTATATATCATATTCTGTAGGGATCCCGTTCCCGTATCGAGGCCACCATTGATCGTCGCCTTGCTCCTTTTTACCTAGACCGAATCAAAGAAAATGAGTGGAAAATTGTAACCACTTTCTTGGTCCTTAACGTCGCTGACCCAGTGAGAGCAACATCTCATGACTACGGCATATGGTTATGGATCAGACCGTCGTTACTAACGCCTTACCAAGGGACCCAATATCATTTTACGATTTCACTCAATTCGACTACATTTTGGAGAAAACAGTTGATAAGAAAGTTTTAGTCGGTGAGATGTTTTTTAAGTTACGTTTTATGGACACATTTTTGAAATTATAAGTTTATTTCTATTTTTTTGGCCCTCGATGTAGATGTCATTGGAGCGTTGGTGGAGGTTGGCCACTTGACCGGAGACTTCTACGGTCTCAAGCTTCCTTTCAAGATCAAAGATAGATAGTAAGTGTTCTTTCGACATTTGATTCACTTACACTTTTTAATCTAAACGCTGACTTGATTCTTCTTTTAATCTAATGTAGCAACGAAGTTTTGGAATGCGAAGCACAGAATGAATAGGCGTTGGAATTCCAAACCTTCTTTCAGAGTCTAGGTCAGCGCAATGTTGTTGTCGCACTCGTCTTCTGGCGTTTAACCGACAGAGCTAATCCGAAGGTTGTGAGTCATGGTCCTGTGTCAAAGGTCTTTGCCGATCCGGACACACCGGAAGTGGAAGAGATCAAGCAGGTCGTTTTTTAGTAAGGGGGATTTGTTTTCCGTTTTCTTATTATTAAATACCATATTTATATTAAGTATTGTTTATTAAACTACATAAAGTTGTTGGCGTTTTCAAATTACTTGACTTTGAATAATAAACTATTGGGTAACTGTACGTACATTTTATACGTACAGCGTGTACAATTACAATTAATTTGGAAGTGTACGTTTTACTAGCTTTTCGGTTCTTCAAACAGCAAATTCTACGAATCCCGTGTAAGTACATCAACACATACATATATCATAATTGTTGTCCTCAAACAACAAAAACTTCATTCATTCATAATTAAGTGCCCGAAGAAGGACATACAATGCAGAAAGACAAACAACTTATATTAGATGCGGAAGCAATAAACTAAAAAGTAGAGCCCGAAGCATACACATGAGCCAGAAAATTGTATGCCTCATCCGTCATAACAAAGTCATATCTAATAGAAGACACACATCTCCCTCGCGTACCAGTAAAAGAAACACCCTCTGCAGCCGGAACTGTATGTGCAAAGGCCAACACATGCCGGTGTGTGCACATACCTCCATGAACGTTGCCAGAGCCGAGGACCTTCGGTGTGAAGCTGGCTTATGTGATACATCACCAGCTCCCCCACTGCGTGAGCTACCGTGACTGTGGGTGTCATCACCCAGAACATATCGCTGACTGAAAGAAAGTCAACATGGTTGCCAGTACAAGTTAGGAATAAGCCGGACGCAAAGCAGGCGAGAGGGTTGGATGGAGAGACGGAGTTGAGTAGTGCAATGCCATGGGCCACCGTTACGAAGCTGCTTGCCTGGCGGAAACCTTCGAGGTATATAGCCAGGATCGCACCCCTTTCCAGCAAGAGGCTGAAGTAGGCCCTGAAGGGAGACTCCGGCTGCACGAAGTGAGGCCATGTGATGAAGTCGTCCATCACTATTGTGTTTACGTCACTTGCTTCGACCAAGCGGCGGAGGGTCTCGATGGGAGTCTGAGATACAGGCACGTAGTTGATGAGGACAGAAATCGGGTTTGGTAATTGTATTGCAAGGTACATCTCGGTTGGAGGGGTTGCGGGGAAAGCCATGTTGTTTAGAAAGGAGGTTTAGAAATAATCTTGCAGTTGATGAATGAAGGAGGTTTTAGAAGAATGTGAGCAAATAAATTAGTGTGTGTGATATCGTTTATATAGGGGCAAAATATTGAGTTCATGTATATGGCTACATTTGGGGGGGGGAACGCATTAAAAAAGTCTCATTATTTTAAAGTTCCTCTTATCTGACAAATGCCAGTGTACATTAATTGCAAAACGTGTACGTATATTAGGGAGATTTATGCGAAAAGATAGAGGTCATTTCTATGAATAGAGCTTGACAGTATGCAATAAATAACCACTCCAAATCTTGTAGATATGGGTTATTACAGGTCAAATCAATCAACATTGCATCATCATTTACTACCATCTCGAAAGTCACTTCTCATATTTCTAGTTTCAAACCAACTAAAATACTTGTACAATAAAGTATACCCGTGTACGTATGTCTACCCTTATTACGTTCTTTGACCAAAAGTTTGTGTTGATGTCTGTCGCCGAATTAGGGGGAAAAGATTGAGTTCATGTATATGGCTAAATCTGGGAGGAACGCATTAATAACCAAATATCTTTCTTTCGCAATTTCGTTTTATCTGACAAAAGACAGTGTACATTAATTACAAATTGTGTACGTATATATGGGGATATTACTTTTTTTTTCTGAAAAGATAAAGGTCATTTCAATGGCTAAATCAGGTCAGTATGTATTTAATGATAATTCGTAAGCCTGTGTAGACAAGGCACCATTATCTAACATTAGGAAACTTGTTTATCAATTTACTATAAAATCTTATATTACAATTATTTGTAACCATTCATAAGATTGAGTATTATATGAGAAACAAACAAGGATGTAGATAAAAAGACATGCATTACTGATAAGCAAAGTACAATTGCAAAGGCCACATATTATAACATAAAAACTTAGAAATTCAGAGAAAATTACGTAAGAACTGCCTAGAGAATTTGGCTAATTCTTCTTGCACACCACCAGAGGTAACATACGTTGCAAACATTCTTGAAGGGTCCAGATCTGATGTAACACAGCTCAGCGCAAGGAGGCGTTCGAATACCACGTTCCTCAGGGTACGGAAAGGTTGCGCCGTATGTGTTGTTTAACCTAATTCCATATTATTTTATTTCGTCTAGGAGTTCCTCACAATTGTCACGTGTTTCTTCTGATTCCAAAGCGTAATGGTTGTTTGCGAACAGGCGTAGGTACACACCACCCATGTGAGCATTGCCGTCGCATATGCACAGAATTGCGCAGGCCAGGGTTGCATCGACGTGCCTTGGTACATTCCGCTGTAAAAGAACAATGGCGCCTTTAATGTCAGACTCATGGGTAACTAGACGCAGTCCTTCATGGTAAATAGCAATCGTGTTACCAGCCTCTAGACACCTTTTGAAAAAGGGTCTATATCGACCTTCAGCGTTGATGTCATTCGGATCATGGCCTGCCGCATGGAAGTCATCGGGATCACTGCACATGGTGTAAATATTAGCATCTTTCAGGACATCTGGCCTGTAGACAATGTTTCTTCCACGACGCCCTGATCTTAACAGAGGTCCGAGGTACCACCAACATTTGTCAGCCATTTTTTTGGCTATCTTGGCTAGCAAATCTTCAGGTAGATTTGGTGTAGACATTTCTTGGAATTTGGTGTTTCAAAACAATGCAATTCCTACTCTTAAATAAAGAACAATGAAGTTAGTTGGTTAAGTTATGGTTGTAGTTAATGCAATCTTACGTAAGTGATGATGCAGTGAGGGAGGGTTGTCAAATCAATGTAAGTAAAGAAATAGTTATCTTATTATGAGAAAAATTGACTTTTGTGTAAAAGACGTACTTTATGTAAGATGTACGTACACATGTTGGTTTTTGAATAAGTGTACGATATGCAGATTGTTTAGAGAAGATAGTTATAACGATTACATAAATATTTTTAGGATCTCCATAATTAATTACGTTGTTCTAATTAGGTTGTTGAAAATAAGGAAATAAGTACTAGGAAATAATAATAATTCAACATCCAGGGATGATTACAATAAACGCCGATTACTACACTTGCGCTTGCCGTGCTCGTAGATTTCCGCTGCGTACACCTGACGGTAGGAGGCCATATCTGCTTCTTGAATATTCACCAAGTCTGACATTGGGTTACCAAACGCCAGCAACTCCAAGAACTTCATTGCGTAAGGCCCGCAATCTCCTGTACTTGGGTTTTGAGCGACCATCACATTTCTCTCATAGGCAAAAGGTTCAACTGAGTACTTCTCAGGCAATACATCCGCGCACATCGCTCTCACTAGGTACGGCATCATCTCGCAGACAGGCTGCATCTTTGACCATGCAACAGACTCCCGCGTGTGTTCTATGAGAGCGTCATAGACAACTATATGCCGGGCTCTGAGGTAGATTGCCAACCCAACCCAATGATCACCTTTCCAGTTCATCGGAGCATATACCACGTCGACATCCTTGAACCATCTACGACTAGGTTCACGGTGTATGTGTATTCCATTGGCCATGTCGTATAGCCGGTCGCCCCATTTGAACCCAAGCTTATTTATACAATTCCTGAAGCTGACAGCACGCTTAGTAAGCTCATAAAGCAGGAAAGAGTCCAAAACAACGCATCGGTTTGCTATCATTTGTTGACCGTTCTTGTGCCACATCAAGATTGCGAGCATTTCCAAGACCTGAAATGATAATAGCATAGACAGTTAGTGTACGTACACTAGCCCTGAGACGGATCCAGATATCCGGCAAAATTGGGTGTATCCGGATCCGGATCCGGATCCGCCGGATCTACAGTTTTATTATCCGGATCCGGATCCGGATGAACCGGATATCCGGATCACGGATACCCGTTAAAAAACCCGGATATCCGCGGATATCCGGATCCGAATAAAACCTTTTTTTTTTTTTTCGTGAGCCCATTTTTTTCTTGACACGCTCTCCTTCAATACTTTACCCAGCTAGAGCACCAAACGCAAATAACCAAATCACAGGAGCGTTGTATTCCTATACCAATAAAAAACTTTGAATCATCGAAACTAAGAAAAACTATTCAAGATCTGTTACTTTTTCATTGTTTGATTCACCAAATCCGCCGGCGATTCACCGAAAACAACAAATCCACGACGAAAAGATGGGATGAAAATTAGAGAGCCAACAACTACAACAAATGATTTATGGATTGGGGGATCGAAACTAGAAATTAAAAGATGTAAATTCTGCAATTTTTGGATATAGGTTTTGTGGTGAGGTGAAGAGATAATGTTGGAGGTTGACAGGTCTCGTGGGGAAGAGAGAGTTGGAGAGATATTTTAGTAAATTATTGGGTTTGGGCTTTATATCATTTGGGCTTTAGAATAAAATGAGTTTCAAATTTGACTAACTATAATGGGCCCAACTATAAACATTTAATAGTACCGGATCCGGATATCCGGTTCTAAAATTTTGAAGTATCCGGATCCAGATCCGCCCACCCCGGATATCCTGTTTTTCGGATCGGATCGGAGCGGATCCCGGATCGGATCCTGGATCCCGGATAATAAGTCCTTGGCCTAACGTACACAATAGGCATATTTTAAAAATGTACACAAATGTACTATTTCAACTTACCATATTATCCACCCACTTTCCTTGTGCTATAAGCATGGAGAAAAACTCGTTGTCCACTTTGCGATACCCGAAAAGAGTGTGCTTCCTGTATATCCAATATTATAGTATGACTGGTTGTTATAGAAAACCAATGTATCAATTAAGGGATAATTTTGATAATGCACGATACTTACACATTCGGACCGCGGAGGACATTGGTTAAGAGCTCTAATTTGGAAGCCTCAACCTTCTCCAAGGGGTTGTAAGGGACATTTCCAGCCGCTATAACCACCTCTGAATCTTCAGCTCGTCCAGGAACATCCTCCACGAGGACTGTTGTTTCCTTAAAACCTTCCGGAAGGGCTTCATCCACCTCAAAAATTATTTGCTTCTTCACTTTTTTGGGTACAACCGGGGTAGGAATTTTAACTGCTATTGCTTCGAGTGAAGCATCGTTGTTTGGTTCATCCTGTAAAGAAGTATTATTGTAAACACCATGATTAAACAATTTCAAAATGTAATGATAATATTTGCTGGCAAGATACTCACAATATTTTTCAGTGTACCAACTGTCGTGTCTGCTTCATCTAACCCTGGGTTTGAATCCTCTTGTTCTTCCACCCCGTCGATAATCCCCTGCTGCTCCAAGACAAATTAACGTGCAGAATTATTTAAATGTACGCATACAATCCTATGTACGTATGTTAATAATTGTGTATAATTTTAAACCAAACACGAGATTTTTACCTCCTTTACATTAGCTGCATCCACATCCATGGAGGCTTTCGTTGCCAACTCCTATAACACCTGCATAATAGAAGATTATAAATTTAAACAAGCCTACACTATTTTATTTTAAAATATAGTTAGCTTACATTCTTAACTACTGCAAATGGTGAAGGGGGATCACTAGGGGTGCCCTCAAGTACTGAGTTATCCACTTTACTCTCTGGAACAACATTGGGTACATCTCCCGCATCAACCTGTGGCAGTAGTTATCAATTTCATCGGCTATATCCTCTATTTTGTTATGTCTGAAACAATCAGTACTTATACGTACACGGGAAATAAGAAAGACAAATGTACGTACACTTACACCGGGTTCCTCGGTGTGTTCAGCCTGAGAAGATGTATCTCTATCATTATCCTCACAAATTTCTGGTTCCTCCCCAACATTTGCTTCACTCTCAAGACCGGCACCATGTTCTTATCCCTGAAACAAATATACCATACACGTCTTAAGCTTTATGTGAGTACACATATGGAAAACTACATTTGACTATTAGCAGACCATATACCTGTCTAGATGTTGCAGGTAAACCTGATGGATTTTCTACCATCTCTGTGTCAGCAGTTGGTTTTTCATCTGTCCCTAGCTGTGTACCAACTACGACAGGCTCACCACCATCAATTGGTCTTTTATCCTAAAACATAGTATACCATACACTTCTTAAGCTATATGTACGTGGAGAACTGAAAATAATTGATACGCGTACACTTATGGAAAACAGTATGTGACTATTAGCACAAGACATATCTGTGTCAGCACTAGCTTTTTCCTCGGTCCCTGACTGTGTACCAACAAGGACAGACTCACCACCATCACGTGCTCCTTCATCCTGAAACATAGTATACCATACACTTCTGAAGCCTATGTGTACGTACACAACTGGAAATAATTGATAAAAATATTTGTACACGACATACCTGATGGGAAGGTGTAGGTCCACCAACTGAAATGTTAGCTACTCCAGTGTCAACCATATATTCGTCTCTGTTCGAAAAATCTCCTCCATCATTTGCAGTAAAACCACCTTCATTGTTGGCTTCATCCTGTACCATAGCAGACAAGTTACAGTTATTAATCTTCATGTACATACATTTAAAATACTATATATAAATGTACGTACATGCCATACCTGGTCATCTTCCTCAGAGGAAGAGTTACCATCAGAAAGCTGAGTAATCTCCGCAATTGACGTCATATTCTTCAGCCTTGAAGACTTTCTTGTTCCAGACTTGAAGACTTTCTTTGTAGACATCCTTTTAGATGCCTTCTTCACACTCATCGGTGCCTTAGCCACCGATTTAGTTGGGCCCTGTGAAGCATGGGAAGTTTTGGTTGGTTCTGTCTTTTTGCCCTTTGGATCTAAGGCAGCACGTATCTCCTGACGGACAAATTTCTTCAAGTCTTGTTGCATTTGTTTATTTTGTGCTTCCTGCCTCTTGAAACACCTCCTAAGTTCAACTACAAACTTCTCAAACTGGGGATCTTCAAAACAATCCTCAGCAGTGTCCTCATTTTCTTCTTCCACAACAAATTTCTGTTTTTTCAAAGCAAGTGCATTCGGGGCTGTTACATTTCTTTTCCTCTTCTTCACACCTACGATAGACCAGTTTAATCATTGATTGGTCTTCAAGGGACAATAATCAGAAAGTATAAAAACAACATTTACACTCACGTATCTCTCCAAGTTGTGGTGGGTGCTCCTGCTTTGGAAATGCAGCATAACCTCCAACCCATTCTTCCTCCTTCCACTCATAACCAGCTAACAACAATCGCTCAATGTAAGCAACTCTTGGATCCTCAACTTCATCATCTCATGACAGGGATGGAGGACAAATATTGTCCTCTGGTTTCACAAGATAGGTTACCTCAACCTACACCAATAAGTTTGTTAACCACTTAGAGAATGTACACTTACTTTTTAAATAATGTACGTACATAAACAATTGTACATACCTCTTCAGCAGCCTCACACTCCAAGATGCTGGATGTCATGATTGCCCGTAGTGAGGCAAGATGATGGATAGACCTCTGAGTAAATGTCCTGTTAGCTTCATCATCAGGTACTAGCTTAGCAAGGGATGGGATTGTTTCAAACGCAAACAGCTGGAGTGCTAATGGGAATCCATGTAGTGCATAAGACCCATCCTTTACACACCTTATCAGTTTTTGAGCATCTGAAGGGGTTTGGAATTTTGCTATCCTCTCCAAAGTACGGGTAAAAGACACCCTTCCCCAAGGGTATTTGCAGAAGAATTGCACGCTCTTCGTCATCTCAACAGTGAACTCAGAAGGCCTTATGGGGTTATTATGGCACCCTATCACACCATCTACCAAGATTATAAGAAATAAGACCAGCTGCTTCCACCCATCCATATTTTCCTCCTCCTTCAGCCAGACCACCAAATCATGCACTGTTGGATTCGGCTACGTCACAAACTTCTCCTCAAACAGAGTTTTCCAGACACTTTGACTCCCAGCTTTGACCTTTAGCACATCCGTCACGTCTTTCTTGTTGGGATACGTCCCACATTCTAGACCAGTTACCAGACTAAATTCTCTTAATCCAAATTTTATTGGATGACCGCCGAAGACCATCCACATCTCATTCACTTTACTCGTCACTAACTGATGACATATTAGTCCAAGAACAAGCTTACCTGAGAAGGAAGACTTGTTAGCAGGTATCCTAAAAAGGTCCCCAAATGGAGATTCGAGAAGAAACTTCATCTCCTCTTTTCCCTTAAGAACTTGCGCTATGTCAGAAAGGTACTCCGGTTTGGAGTACGCGTTCATCTTCGTCTTCACAGGGTACCGGTCTAGGGCAAAGAGTCTAGGTGGTAACTCTTCAACTATAAGATCTTCAGTCGGAACCACGCTTGTACTGCCTGCAATTACAAGTAATATACAATTAAGTAAGGATGTAAACAATACAAATTCGTGTACGTATACAGTAATTATCAACATTATATACTCAACATCTGAATTTTGGCGGAAAAAGAAATTTCCAATTCATCTTCTCAAATTTTCAAACTACAGATTTAGCAAAATCCGGCAACTTCTATCCCTTTAATCAAACAAGCTTTAATATTCCGATACACCCAAAGAAACTACAAACGAGATAATATCAGAACTTACCCAATTCCTCCGGCGGCTTTGTCGGAGAGAGTTTCTTCCTCGGGGATACTCTGAGTACCCGCTTCTCCTTCTCAGGGCCTTCCCGCGTATGCTGCTTCCTCGGTACTTCGTCGTTTTATTTATTCCCAGCCATCTCGAAGGTTTCTATCTCGCCGGAGGTTTCTCAGGTCGTCTTCGCCGGAAAAACTTCAACTTTCTATTCGCCGGTTTTTGGAGTTCAATGCGATGCCTCAAATCAAGTATCCAACAATTCGAACGGTGATGTCGAAAAAAGAAGATGGATGAATGAATTTCGAACTGATTTCAACTTCTCTCTCGAATCTCTCCGCCTCTCTCTCCTTCTTCTTCTTCGTTTTCTTCGACAGTTTTTTTTTTTTTTTTTAAACCGCAACAAAAATCAAAAGAAACTAAACCGGTCAGTAACTGTGCGGTTTGGTTTAATTCGTTAGGGACATTTTCGTCATAAAATGTTGTAACTGTCAAAACATGAGAATGAAATCTCACTTTGCCAAACTGTGAGACAAAATCTTTTTTTTAACCCAAACGTGAAAATTTCTTTAATATTTTTGTCATATAAACTAAACCGAGTGAAACCAAAACTTTACTATTTAATTTTTTCTTACTGATCAAACCGAATTTGGTAAAACTTTTCTTGTCTAACCAAATAAACTGAAATTCATAATTTTGATTAACATAGATAATTTACTGTGTTATTGGTTTATTGATTTGTAAATCCAAATAGGATTTGAAAATCTTATTAATAATGAAATCAAGACATATGAATTTTGAAATAACATGTGTTTATCTATGGATTTGAATCCTTCTATTTTTTTTTTCTTTCAAATCCATTTAAAATATAATTTGAATTTTGAAATCTAAAAGCAAATGACAAAACGAATAACATAGGATTTTAACTAATATTTATAAATTATGGAACCAATATCACATGATTTTAGTTAGGATTTTAAAATCAATGATTGAATAACAAATAATTTTTATGAATTTCCAAATCCTTATAAATCCATGAACCAATAACCCATCATAAATTTGTTAGAAATGATTTACCAAATCAAACCGAAAGTTATGATTCAAACCAAAGGGAACCGGAAAACAACAATATATCTCTCTGGTTATTTTCCACCTAATAAACCCAACTCATAAGAGTTATCAAATCAAACCTGGAAAATATATGTTCTATATCGGTAAAAATTCTACTAAATAACGTACGTAAAACCAACCAAAAAAAATAAAAACCTAAATACGGTAACCTACAAACAGAGCCGGCCCTAGCCACAAGCTAGGGAAGCATGTGCTTGCGGCCCCGGATGTAGTTATTAATATATCGGCCCTCTTTTTTCAAAAACTCTCTTATAGCTCAACTGGTTAAATGCTTGATGGAGGAATGTGAGGTTGAGGGTTCAATTATCACAATTGTAGAAATGCTTTAAAAAATTTTTTGGGAAGAATTAGCCCTTTTTTTTTAAGCTTGTGGCCTTCAAAATGTTAGAGCCGATACTGCCTACAAAGCTGATATATATTCATGATCCAAACCGGAGAAACTAGAATAAAGCCACTCCTATGCCTACTACTATACGTACCTTTCCATTGGTAACAAAGACGAGGAGAAGACAAGCGACGATGGAGCCAAGACACTGAGCAATCCAGTAGAAGAAACCTGTGATGAGTGTTATGTTTCCGCCGATGGCAAGGCCAAGAGTCACTGCTGGGTTAAGGTGACCACCGCATATATTAGCCGCAATGGAAACTCCAACAAAAAGAGCAAACGCGTGAGCAATCGCAATCGCTACAAGACCAGCCGTGTCTAAGGCTCCATCAGAGGTTAGTTTGTCAAACGCTATAGCAGAGCCAACACCGGCGAATACGAAGAGAAGAGTTGCGATAAACTCAGACAAGTAAGCTTTTAGAGATGATACACTGAATGAGTCACCCACACTTCCAACTTCGATCTTCACCATTTTTTGAAAAACTAGTTTTTGGTTTTGTTAACTCTTTCTATTTTCTGTTACTTAGCCTTTGGATGGGCTCTTGTTTATATATAGCGAAGAGCAATTGACAAAAGGTGGGGTTGATAATGATATTACGTGGCAGAATCATTATTGGATGCCGCCCAAACGGCCTCTTATTTGATTAATGGAAGGTTAGCAATATTAAACATGTTTAGTGTCAACTATAGTGGGATTTAATAACATGTCAGGATAAGAATCTTCTGTTGGCATTTTGATATTCCGCATTTTAAAATTAAAGTTGTGTCACACCAATAATGATAATGGTCTTTGTTATTTTTGTGTTTCTTATTGGATTAGATAAGTAGGAAGGTACTAAATTATTAGTAGGGATTTTAAGTTAAATCCAATTTGCTTGTTTTTTTTTTTTTTTTCTTTTCTGTGTGGAGTTTGATTGAGAATATTTTACAAGGAAATCTAATTTTTAACTAGCTGCGATTATGACTATTCACAAAACTAACATTATACTGAATATAGATATATTTGTATAAACTTACATATTGTATTTCTAACAACAATTTGTATGCCTTCTTGAAAATTTAGATTTCATAGAAACAAACATGTAGTCGCTATGGAATATTTGGTGTACTATTTTCTTTTAAATTAATCTTCTGACGTTCAACGTTGTATTAAAATCACGAGATGTAAGGTACATCGAGTTTAAGGAAAAATGAGGTAATAGCATGTGCCATGGAAATGCAAATTTTATCCTATTTAATATTTATGAATAGTTTTAATTATAGTAAAATATTTATTTTTCATAAATAAATTTGTATTTTTAGTAAATATATATTTAATATATATGTACAATATAGAATAAATCTATGCATAAAACTAAATAGATATATATATATATATATATATATCTATCAAAAATAAATTCAATATTTATTTGTGTTTGGCTATTGGTTTTAGAATATTAAGAACAAAATCAAAAATTTTAAAGTGTTACAAAAAAATAATAGAACTAAATAAATGTAAAATTGTTATAATACATCGTATTGGACATATAACCGGGCCCAATAAGCCCATCAAAGTTATTCATTATGTATTGTATCCCGATGTACTTCTATATATTCTCTTGGGGATCAATAAAATAATTAGTTCACGCCGGTACTGTTCTTCGGTACTGTTCATCGGTACTGTTCATCGGTACTGTTCATCGGCAGCGTGAGTTACCGAGGTCTTAAGCTCCCGGTTCAATCCGTTCAACCCCAATTGGTGAAAGGTAAAAAACAAAACCTTAAAAGCTTAAAGACCAAAAATCGAACTTGAACCTAATGCAAAGCGAAATTTTAAAAACGGATAATGATTGATTAAGTGATTGCTTTTGCTTGTATGATTCGATTGCTTGACTCGTTTAAGTTGTTAGAAAAGTTATTGCTTAAACCTAACTTTCAAACTCGAAAACACTTAGCCATGGCTGAAACCTTAAAACCTAAATCAAATCAAATCCGAAATCCCTAAAATATAAATCGATTGATTGAGGTTGTTTAGGTTGTTTAGATTGATTATTTCTATGATTGATTGCATGCATAAATTGATAGAAATCAAAACCTAAAATCGCATGAACCCTAAAAAAACGTTTTTGCTTTTGAAAACCACAAAATTCAAATCGTTTTCCTCAAAGAGAAACGAAAACCCTAATGCGTTTTTTCAAACGTTTTCAACCGCATGTCTACAATCGCGAATTCAAATCGTTCTCATCATCGAAACATAAACCCTAAAACCGATTAAACCTAGTGGTTCAACCGCTTACTTTTGTAAAATCGCGGCTCAACCACTTCTATGTCCAAAACCGCAATTTTCGTGTATCTCCTAAACCGGAAATCATTCTCGGTTAACTCTAAACCCGAATATCAATTCGGTTCATCGGTTAAACCGTTTATCAATTAAAACATATATTAACTTGGTTCATCATTTAAACCGACTCAAAATCAATTTACTTTTGGTTAACTAATAAACCGGATCTCAACCCGGTTAACATAAAAACCAAAAATCCCTAAACCAGAATCTAATATTCCGGTTTAACTTTAAACCATTAAACCGTATCCTTAAAATTTACGATTCCCAAGAAAGTTTCCTAAATTAGAAAGTTTCCCCAGATTAGAAACTTTCCTCAAATAGAAACTTTCCTCATTTAGAAGGGTTCCTAAAATAGAAACTTTCCTTATTTAGAAAGTTTCCCAAATTAGAAACTTTCCTCAAATATAAAGTTTCCTCAAATAGAAACTTGCCTAAACAAACCCCTAATGAAATCAAGTTCATGTTTTCAGATGTCAAACATTCAGAAAGTCGAGTTCGAGGCCCTCAAGGTCTCCGGTGAAAACTATCTCGAATGGGCCCTGGACACTAGGATTTTCCTCAAATCAAAGGGACTAGGTGAGTGTATCAAAGCGGATAACACCACATCTGATAAAGACCGGTCCCAGGCGATATTTCATATCCGCCATCATATGGCCGCGAGCCTCAAACAGCAATATCTTACTCTTGAGAACCCACTCGAACTTTGGGTGGCCTTGAAAAAACGGTATGATCACCAGAAAACGGTGCTCTTGCCACAAACCAAGTTTGACTGGAAGGAACTCCGGTTCCAAGATTACAAATCTGTGGATGACTACAACTCCGAACTCTTTCGGATAGTTTCAATCATGAAACTATGTGGTGAAGAGGTGTCTGATAATGATCTCCTCGAGAAAACATTATCCACCTTCCATACCCAAAACATTGTGCTTCAGCAGCAATATCGTGCAATGAAACATACATTGTACGAAGATTTGTTATCTTGTTTGCTCTTGGCCGAGTAAAACAACGAGCTGTTAATGAGGAACAGTGCCCAGAGGCCCCCGGGATCGGCTCCAGTACCAGATTCCCGCAAAGAATCCTACAATGTCCAGCGAGACAGATCCTCAGATCGTGGTCGTGGACATGGGAATGGACGTGGAAAGCGTGGACGCGGAAATGGACTTGGCAACCGACATAACCTCGGTTATGGTTCCGGTAAGGGCCGTGGTATCTCTAAATTAAACCGCCCTGCCCACCCAACCAATCAGTATGCCTGCACCAGATGTGGAATGTTCAATCACTGGACAAAGAACTGTCGTACTCCCAAGTTTCATTGCGATTTGTATCAGAAAAATGGGAAAGCACCTGCTGAAGCTAACATGGCCCAGCAAGTTGATGCTGACGACACCACCACCGAGCCGACCGATCCCATGGATTACGAGATCTCAGATCTCCTCGATTGATTCTATCATCTGAACACTTGCTTATTTTGATTTTGTTTTTTTTTTTCATTTTGGGGATTTGTTTTATTTTTCATTTGCTATTTATTTTCAGACAAGAGTTATTTCATAAATTTAATCATGCAAACCGCGAATATTAGCACAATAGCGGATACCTCAAACTTAATAGAAGGCCACGGCCAGGCCCATGTGTTGTTATCAAACGGCACACATCTGGAAATTCCAGATGCATTATACTCACCCAGCTCAAAAAGAAACCTTTTAAGTTTTAAAGATATCAGACTTAATGGTTTCCACATAGAAACCCATGGTGAAGGGAACAAAGAATCCCTACTGATCACTAAGATCACTAAGTCCTCGAGACTATACCCGCATTATCTACTGGCCTTTACTATGCTAAGGTCAGTATGATTGAGGCTAATAATGCTCTCAAAGCCCGGTTCAAAGACTACACTATTTGGCACGACCGGCTTGGTCATCCCGGTACAACCATGATGCGTAAATTAATCCAAAGTTCTCAAGGACACACCCATCGAGAAAACCGAGTCTTCCCTCAGCACCTCACGTGCACAGCTTGCTCCCAAGGGAAGTTGATCACCCGGTCTTCACCAGTAAAAGTGTCCAAAGAGACATTACATTTTATGGAAAGAATCCAAGGAGACATCTGTGGTCCCATTCACCCACCTTCTGGGACATTCCGGTACTTCATGGTACTAATAGACGCTTCGACCCGTTGGTCGTATGTCTGCCTATTGTCTTCTCGGAACCAAGCTTTTGCTAGGTTGTTGGCTCAAATCATCAGATTACAAGCCCACTTTCCAGACTTCCCACTAAAGACTATACGTCTTGTTAATGCTGGTGAATTCACTTCCCAAGCGTTTAATGATTACTGTATGGCCATGGGGGTGACCATTGGGGACATGCAGTATTACATGCTGCCGAATTAATACGCATCCGACCATCTAGTGAGCATAGATATTCCCCATCCCAATTATTAACGGGTCATGAGCCAGACATCTCCCATCTCAAAACATTTGGGTGCTCAGTCTATGTACCCATTGCTCCACCACATAAAACCAAAATGGGACCTCAAAGGAGGATGGGAATATATCTTGGTTTTGATTCTCCCACCATCATCAAATATCTCGAGCCGACCATTGGAGACCTATTTAAGGCCAGATATGCGGATTGCCAATTTGATGAATCGGTATATCCAACATTGGGTGGAGAGAAACACAAGCTGGTCAAAGAGCTATCATGGAATCAAACATCCTTAAATTGGCAAGATCCTCGGACTCTAGAATGTGATTCAGAGATCCAAAAGATTATACACTATCAAAAGCTAGCTAATCAATTGCCAGATTCCTTTACTGACCCGAACAAAGTAACCAAATCGTACATACCAGCTTGTAATGCACCAGTACGAATAACTATCCCAACGGGACAAGCTCAAGTTGCTACAGAGTCTGCATCACGAAATAAACGTGGCAGACCTCTAGGTTCCAAAGACAAGAATCCACGGAAATAAAAAAAAGGTGCAATAGTTGAAACCGGGATTCCCAATATAACAGACATAGCCGCGGCTGAGACTCACTCTAATGAACCACCAGAAGAGGTTCGGGACGCCGAATCTCTAGGTTCTGAAGAGATCGATAACGATGAGATCTCTATCAATTACAACATGTCTGGAACCCAATGGAACAGAAAAGAAGTCGACTTGAATGCACTCTTTGCATACAAAGCAGCACTTGATATTGC